TTTCATCCTTTGCTGTTAGAGCAAAGCCTGTTTTGACCTGCTGAGCCAACGTGACGTTGTTGGCTGCGGTACCGAGTGCCTCTGAGACAGCTGGTCTTACGCCAGCTGGTACTAGAAGTCGGTGGGGGTGGTCGTAATCGAGGCGTAGAAACAGTCGCGTATCGACCGTTGTCCTCGTATAGGCTCCCTTTGTTGTTGACGGCCTAGTGCTGTGGCCAAGTCCTGCTCGGGATACATTCGCCCAAGTTGTCTTTTGGGCCGGAGCCTGGGTTGTCGAAGGGTTAGGTACCCTAATTTCATGAGTCCTCGGCGGAGGAGTCTTGCTGGGGCGTACAGGGAGAGCTGGTGGAATGCTCCCTGGGCCTGATTGTATGAACTGGCCAATGGCCGCTCGAAGGTAGACTTTAACACCGTCTACAGTTTTTTATTCTTCGCCAATAGAAGGAGGCGAAAATGCTGCTTCAACACTGCTTATTGCAGTGGAACAGATTGATAGACGGTCCTTGATTTGCGTCGTGCTACGCATCTCAGCCTCCATCATTGATTGCAGCTCCGGAGGAGATTCCGGTACTGATGTCGAAGCTTTGCCTTTTGAAGCTAGCACTGTGAATTTTCTTGAAGACGTTTCTACTTGTTTTGTCATCATCTCTCGGACGAGTTCCTTTCCCTTCCTTGAGGAGCTTCCCTATGGGGCAAGCTCAATGGGAATGTTGGTCTCGAGACCAATTTTCTCTGATCTGACGGGCTCAGAATCAGTCATCTCTTTGTAGGGAAGATTTGGAGACTTCCCTTCAACGAAGGCCTCACTCGCAAGCATGCTTGATATTTTTTGCGCGAGGCCAGATTTTTTTGCAGGAGCTCTCGGGCGGACTCTCGCGTTGTCCAACATTGCGTTGGTGAGCTTTTTTCGAACAGGTGGCATGATAAAAATGACAGCGACTCTATCACAATTCATAGAGAGAATGCGACGAGCGCGAGAGGGAGGGATAGGGGGGAAAAGGGAAGTTTCGAATTTCGAATTTCAAAAAATTGTGTGTGTTGTTGTATTTGTTTATTGTCCTATGAAGTCTATGACTGTGTAATGTCATGTAGGTCCTTCCTGCTTATAGGCTGGGAGTATCTATGCCTCTGGTAGTGTACTCTCTCCTATGCCACCTTCACGACTTCTTTCCATACTGTTTGAGGGAAGCTGTATGGGAGGCATAGGAGAGGATATACTACTGGTATTGGTATCCTTGGCATGTAGACAGAGAGGACCTGCATGTCCTACATAGTCATAGACTTAGACAGAACAATAAAATGAATTAATAAAAAAGACATCATTCCAGCAGTAATACCCCCACACGTCTTCATTCGAGTACACACTGAGAGAAGCCGTTATCCCGTCATTATCTCTCCTCTTCGGCCAATGAAACGATAGCTATTTGCAGGTGTGTAGCTGCAGGGAAAATTCTCAAAAACCACTGAGTGCGGGGCTGTCCTATGATGAAGAGGCCGGCCAGCCGGGCGCAGCAGACCTTTTCGATCATGTTAGGAGAATGGAATTTATATGAACCACGAAACACGGAACAATAAGTTAGGGATGCATGTGTCATCGGGTTCTGGTCATGGTCTGACAAGATAGATTTTATTCATGAAATATGTAGATCTAGGCATAAAAGAGAGTCCTAGGCTGGGGAGGGATCTGAATTTATAAGATATCCGACATCACGCCAAGCCCTTGTCGCTTAGATACCTTAGGCTTGTATCTAAATTTTCACAGGAACTAGCTTGAATTAGTCTCGTTTAACGTCCTATGCGGTATCTATATACAGAACCATGAAGACAGTAAGCCGCTTTGGTGTGGGAAAAAGCTTTCAACAAAACCCAATGTCCTGCCACTCTGAACCGACCCGGCTTAATGCTGAGGACGTTCCTTTCAACCACAAATTTATAAACTTTCCCCAGAATTCGTTAACTCCCCCTTCAATCAGACTAACGTTATGAAAAATTGAATAGAGAAGGCACCTCCTAACTCGGCGTTGGTCTTCGAAGTGTTCGAAGAGTTAGCCCCGATGGTTGGTGCAACTGGGGCTTCGACTACCTTACGTGGTCGTCCTGGCCCTCTTTTGAGTCCTTCAGCCTTTTTACTGGTGACCAAAGTAAATCCCTGATCATCAGTCGTTCCGACTGTTCGCATTGGCGCCATGGTAGGTTTTCGTTCCATATGTCTGCCGTTCTCGATAACAGCTCCATCCGAGCCTTCTCCGCACTTCCCTTGTAGACCTGGTAGGACCGACACGCTGCTTTCTGCCACGAATGGTGCTCCTTGCCGCAGTTCGTACAAGAAACCCTTTTCCTTGGACAGTCCCAAGTTTGGTGAGCGCCAACGCACTCACCGCACCTGGCTACCTTTCCACACGACGCCTGCATATGTCCCCACTGGCTGTAGTTATAACACTGCTTTGGCTGGGCCCGTGGTGAACACACCTGCGCGATGAAGAGCATGGCATTAATTACAAGCCCCTTTTGAATTGCCTCTATTTGTATTTCCTCCGATGGGAGGCTGACCACAATTGATCCTCGATTGCGACCATTTTTCTTCGATCACTGGTGCTCCTTTCCATCGTGTAGCCACCTGATTCGATTAATCACTATGCCAGGAATTCGAGCCTTAGTTGCTATCTCAATCTCCCTGATGATAGCGTGGTTTTGGGCATCTCTGCCACCCTCAATTCGAGTCCGCAAAGGAACACCTGTAACCTCGACGGGAAAATCTTGCCGTAAAATCTTAAATTCGTTAGGTTGGCGCATGTTGAGCGCCGTGTCTCTCTGAGACGCCGACTGGACGAACACCTCAGTGTCGTTGCTTCGCATCTGGCGAGTCGCGTATGCGCCTTGGATATGTTGTTGTGCCTTTGTTGGCAGCTGTTGTGGCTGCAGGTTTTGTGCGCCGTCGATTCTTGTTCTGACCGCCGTTTTCGCCATTTGCGGAGCTACGACCGACTCGTAGGTCCTTGGTGGCGGCTTCCCAGACGACACAACAGGAGCTACCTGTCGCGCGGCATCCGCGATACTTTTCTTTACCACCTCCTCCAATGCTATCATCCTCTCCTCGATCGGAGATGGGATCTAGGACATCTTTTTCCAAGCCTTCTTGTGATAATTGAATGCCTTGACGGCTTCATTTACGTCTTCCATTGTTAGTAGGTCCTCCTCATCCATCTCTCCCATCACAATTAGTCTGACCTTTTTTGATAGCTTCCCTATTATTTCCAAGTTAGGGTCCTTTGGAGCTATCTGCGCTTCGCTGCCGTTGTTTGATGATGCCGTTGTCGCATTTTGCGAAGCGTCGAAACCGCTGGATTTACCTATACCAGCACCCACACTCGCCATGTTGTAGCACGGAAAGCGAAAAGATTAGAGGAGGGTATTGAAGATGTAAAAATAATAATCACGATGTCAAATTGATGATACGGGCAGCGTGGAACGCTGCGCAGCTTTCGGTCAAAAATGATGTTTTTTCCACAAAACTAGCTTATGAGATATTTAAGCTTCAGGAAGTGCACGTGAGCTAACATTTTAAAAATGACAGCTTTTTCTTCTCAGTCACTTGCAAAAGACAAAATTTCTAACAAATTCTCCACATTCCATCGTAACGACTTGGAGGCGACCTTTAGTCGAAGTTGTTCTAGCTATCCTTCACTTCAGATCCAGATCATTAGCTTGACAATGTTCTTTCTTTAATGAATTCACCCGACCGATTTCCTGTCTCTCTAGATATTCCTCCTGTTATACTAGCCTACCTGGGGTGGGCCAGTAAAATTTTTTTGGCTTGTCGAGACGGAATCCACACTAGTAAATTGAATTATTGATTCTATGAATTTTTAATCTGTACAGATAAAAATAAATTCAATAATTTTGTCCCTTATCTATATGGCTATACATACCTGAAAGCAGGGAAGCTCTTGAACCCAATGAAAATTAATCACAATTTGACAGATGTTATGGAAATTAGGCGGATAGCTATTGCATTCAGAATGCGTTGAAACCATGTCGACGTGAAAATCTCTCCGTCTTGTAATTGTAAATATTTCATCTATACCCCTACATTCAACCTATTTAGTCTAATAACTTTATTATTTACAGGCGTTTCCAACTTTATCAAAGTTACAGCTTTCCGGGAATTTCTGACTATTTAATGTATCTGGTTAGCCTCAACACCGTGAGACTGACTTCTGGTAATTTTAGCTGACTCCGATGGAGTTTTTTGCAGAACATGATTCGTGGGTCATTTAAAGGCCGATTTAGCCCTGTGCATGTCTTATATCATTGGAACAGATTTATATAGCTTATCTTTGTCCTATATTTTTGTAAAATATCTGAAGAATTGATTGCTCCTGACAATGAAGGTGGCTGAGTATCATTTGTCACTCGGGTAGTTGCTCAAAAAATTAACAGATTAATGATGTAAGTGGAAAAATGAGAACTGTTTGGTTTGTCTCCATTTAACCCAAAATTGCAGGTAAGACTCTATGTGAATAGATGCGAGTCGATCTAGGTTACTATTTAGTTATGTAGGTTTTGTAATTGTACCTACTAAAGTGTATGATCTAACCTTAGTAATTCAGCTCGGTCAGTAAAACAGCGTTTGATAGATCCTGAATGGATACTCTTCAAGAATAAAAGGTCGTAACGACAGCTCTTCTTTCATCTTTGAAAGTGTGTCTAGAGTTAGTTGGCTTTTCCGTCCAAGTTTAGTTATTAAAGTTATGCTAACTCTCGTAAAAATACTTACAACAAATACAATTGCAATATTAGGTCAAGAAAGCTAGTTTATTTTAAAGAAAACCCCCTACTGAAATGGAATCTGGTCACTCATGGTTTTTTGGTTAATGAAGAGCAGCAGATTCGAAGGTTAAAGTTGGCTTTATTATCTTAACTTGTGGTGATTTTTCAAGGTTTGAAATCCAGGCATATCGAGCCTTTTCTATTTCGAATAAGTTCCGAATCCGATCATTTCACGCATTTTTGGCGGCGTTTTCATCTTTTTTGACCCTGAGCTTTTTTTTACTTTTTTTTTTTAATCCTTCTGCTGTCGGATTTTGGTCTATATGTTTTTCTTTAGCCGGGTTAAAATGTGTCTTTTTTTTCTTCGTCATCAAGGTCGGGGCAACATCCTCGACCTCTGCCAACTTTGCTTTCTTTTTTTTCTTTACTATAACGGTTCCTCCGATGCCTTGAGCGGCTTCTATTCTCTCGTTGGATCGCTGCATCTGTAATCGTAATCTTTCTATTTCTTTCATTGCTTTTTCAATATCTGCTTGTTCTTTCTGTTGCTGGCAAATTTCAGTTGGTACGTCAATAATGTCATCCTCAAGAGATATTGAGCTGATGTGACTTGAATCGACCTGGAGTAGTGGTAACTTTGATTTTGATGTCATCAATTGATGAGCTCCAGCAGTTGGTTCATGGCTATCTAACTGAAGCTTTGTTGTTCCATTTGTTACAAGGGTTTCATCTGGCGCAACAGCTATCTGAGACCGAATTTTTGACACTGATATTTTCTTTGACAAGGTTTCTCTTGAACTACTAGTTGGTCTTCCAAGATCTAGATTAATGATTGGTATTTTATCGAGGTCTAGATCGGTGTCTTTATTTTGCTGAAGGATATTTTGCAAATGAGTCGATATGCCTGATTTTTCATCATATGGGGTTATGTAGAAAGGATCATCTTTGTTCTTTTCCATCCTTTCAATTCGCCGTCTTGATAATATATCAGAGTCAAAGTAGCTTTCTTCATTTTGATGCTGATAGGTATGAGATTCTATCTCGTCAGTAGCTATACGGCTTGTGATAACTCCTGAGTTGCTCAAGAAAGGAATCTCTGGATGATGATAAAAATTGTCGAAATTTTTCTGGGTTGGTTCTTCAGAAGTTTCTAGTTCAGCAGTATTTAGCAAATTGACAAGATTAGGGTTGATTATTTGATCCAAATCTAGCCCATCAGGTAAGGGTACATTTTTAATTGCCGATGGTGCCACAGAATTGAGCTGAAATCCAGAAAAAAGAGATGGTAGAGCTTCCGTCAACAGAAGTGGAGGGTGTTGAGCATCATCTGTATAAGTCTCCTGATTTGATAGTGCCTCGACCAAGAGTTTAAGGAATTCAAGGAACTCAACTGCCCTTTCTTGTACTTCTAAACTGGGATGCAAAGCAAGAGGCTCATAAGTAAATATTATTCGAGCAATTATAAGTGACACCATAGTTTTTCGTTCCGCTGTCCACGGAATTTTATCATCACCTGAAATCAAGTAGAATATTTTGGGGACAGCTTGTAGAGATGTAATTGGCGGTACTTGTCTTTCAGTACTCTTAATTATTTGAAGAAGAGAAGTCATTGTACTTTCTGGGTTTGACAGACTTGATGCAAACTCGCCGACTACCCAAGAAGCTGGGTCCAGTGCCCCGTTTCCTGCGCACAGGGGTAAGGAAAGGTTGTTGCTTATGGATAAGAGTATCAATTCAGAGGCCCTAGTTGCCTGATCGCGAACAGCTTCCACTTTCACGGCTATGTTTCGCAGTTCATTTGCAATACGCCTAGGGATATTAGTTGAGTTATTCTCCCAACTCATATCGTCATTATTCGTTGAAGAGCACGTTGAATCAGGTGCAGTTCGAAAGATTTGGATCAATATGTCCAAGTACCATTCGAAGTCTAGCAAGTTGCCATAGTTCCTGCTGGAGCACATATTAATTATTCTATTCATAACATCAATCTTGTACTCGTCTGATATTATTGGGGCCTCATCTGTGTGAGGATCGTAACGTATTGCACCTTCAGGTTCATCTTCAGTCGAAGCCAAAATTTGGACCGGAACATGCTGCACGATAGTCTCTTGGATAATCGGTGAACGAGAGTGCTTCAACTGTCTCATAAGACGACATACAATCGATGTAAGGTTTTCGCTATTTACCATTTCGACAACTAAATCAAGAGCCCGCATGCGAATGGAAATATCAGGACTATCTATACACTCCATTATAACATCTTGCTGTTGAGCCACGAGATGTGGATGTGTTACGACTATTTTATTGAACGCAATCAATGCGACGTATTTCACTATATTGTTAGCAGATAAGTATGGGTAGAGGATTTACCCTAAAACTCACAATTTGCGTCTCCCTCCACCATGATCATCCCTCGTAATTTGCTGACACAAAGAGTAGCGATTTCCTCGCCACCGGCACTCTCGTCAGTAGTACTTAAAATTCCTCCTTGAATAATTCCGTTTATGCATTCGTAAAGGAGAGACATGGCGGGAGTTGTGCGTATTATAGAGGCTAGGGGAGGTAAGAGTTTTTTGACTAATCGTGGCTCTAAAGGTGTCAAGATAGCAAACTATCTGTTGTTAGTTATTTTTTGAAAAAAGACGATAAGAAACAGACAAGTTTAATCAATTTGATTGCCATCCAATTATTACGGCCATCAACTAGCAAGCCAAATAGTCGTGGAGCAAGTGATAAAAAGTCCTGTGGTCGTCTCCAACCTAGCTCGCACACCACGTTGACGATAGCAGCTACTACACTTGGATCTTCAGACTCGTCTGCGAGTCTATCTTTAATTTTTGGCCATGCCGGTCTGAGTGTTTCTGGATGGACTAAGGCAAGTCTGTATAATGTTATGATTGTTTTTTTTCTTACAGTCGGATTAGAGTGATTCATGCGTGGCAGTAAATCTCCAAGAGTTGAAAGCGCTAAAGATGGTGTTATAACATGAGGTAAAGTTGCAATGGGAAGGGACATAGTTAGTGTAGAAGTAGAAGTTAAATCCTAATTGATTTTTAGTAAGATATTAAATAGCCTTTTGGGCATTATACTTTCTTGAGCAAGTTGGTTGCCAACATTAGAACTTCAGTATCAGGCCTGAAGGTCTGTACTGCTCCAAGGTAGCCTGCTCGCTTTTGGAGGTATTTTGCCGAAGACATTACTTCTAGAACATGAAATGCGGCCCACGACATATCATATCCAAACATTTCGAGATATATAAGCTTGAGTAAGGCGGTTGCTTTGAGGTCTGACAGAATATTAGTTGTAGTCAAAGTTCTTTATGATTGATAGCCGACTAACCCATATCTTGACCTCGTATTTCTGCCCGACATTCTTTCAAGCTATTCTGAATGTACTCTTTCTCATTTCCCCTGTAATTTCGCAAGCCACGAATTAGATCATAGAGGGACTTCTCGAACCTTTGATATTGTCAGCGCCATTTAAGGATGAGTGAGAAGCTATGTGATGTCTAACATGATATAGATTAGAAATTCATTCCTGGCTAACGAAGAGGCGGTTGGAATCGAAAGGAGTCGGCTGCTATTCGCATAGATCGCCCGCACTGTGTTGGTTGTCGGCTGATTTATTAAACACTGTTGTTGTTGTTGAATACGACGTTTGCAGCTTCAATCCGCGGTTGGTCATAGCGGTAGTGTAGAGCATCGGGCTTATCGCCTTAACAGCGTCACTATTGACTCGGTGTAATCGGTTTCCGCAAAGCAGGTGGCTCTTACCAGCATAAACCCAATTTAGTCAAATTTAATTTGGATCAAACTTGTGAATTCTTCTTGTTATTATGTATATTTCATCACTATCTTCATTTCCTATCGCCTTGCACCTCTCACAACTAGCACCAAAACTTCTACGTGATTTAGCCTCATCTTCATCGAATATTTGGTCCTCTACAGAATCACTGCAGCTATGGGAAACGTACGAAAACATAGTAGTTTCATGCTTACAGGCAGGAGACGAAGATTCAGCAAACATGTGTCTCCAAAAGCTTAGCAAGAGATTTGGTCAAGATAATGAGCGATTGATGGCACTGACTGGGATGTTCAAGGAAGCTGTTGCAAAAAATGACGAAGAACTTATGACAATACTGGATGAATATGACAAGATCTTGAATCAGAATCCTGTCAACATGGTTTACAGTGTCTATTCCTTCTACCGATCGCGCTAACAAACGTAGCCAGTAATGAAAAGACGAATCGCACTCCTTAGGTCAATTGGAAAACCAGTCGAAGCCATCAACGCCTTGATTAAGCTCCTAGAATCATCTCCTACTGATGCAGAAGCCTGGGCTGAATTATCAGATCTATACGTGTTACTGGGAGTATACAAAAAGGCCTTGTTCGCTCTTGAAGAGGTATTACTTGTGACCCCATTTGCTTGGAATGTTAGTGCCTCTGTCTGCTCAAATATCCAGCTACTAATCCTAAAGATACACGCTCGTCTTGGTGAAATTCTGTACATGGTGGCACTTATTGATTCCGATGAAGTAAAACTGCTCCAAGACTCGATTGCAAGATTTTGTAGAAGTATCGAGCTCTGTGATGACTATCTCAGAGGCTACTATGGGCTGAAACTAGTAATATTATTTGCCGAAACTAGACCAACGGATTCCTTTCTAATAGTTTATAGGTCACCGATAAGCTGTTGAATATTTTGATGGAAACTACAACAAGATCCAGAGTCGGGGCACTCCAGCAGTCTGACCGGAAAAAAATTGAGCGATTAAATGTTATGGCCACGTCAAAACTCTCAGATATTATTCGTACTGGTTCGAGTGATGAAACTGGAAACCTAGGATATGATGCGATAGAGCTCAGCGCGGTCAAGAACCTTCTATCTCAAGACTCTGACTCATCGATTATTCGTTGATCACTATACTAGTGCTGTGTAAACTTCTGTGTGTTAGGCTGAACTAAAGTAGTTCCAGATTATCATAGCTGTGGTTTCGAAAGTTGTGTTATGTTCAGATGTTGAATCAAACCCAAGTTGATTTTTAATATCAGGAGTAGTTACAAGCATGTTTTCTTAAGGTGCCCTTCTCACCTATTTCCAGCCTAACCTTAGAGTCGCGGGGCCTCTTAGCTAGTTGGACATCCTGACTGATATCCCAGCGGGTGATGAGGGGGTTTAAAACTTGATGTCCAAAACTTTGGGTGTTAACTACCCATGATTTGTGACGCCCAAATATTTGTTGTGTGGTATCCGCATTATTATTTACTATGAGATCCCTAACAATTAGGGACCAAGGAAATAAAAGACTGTAATGTTTACAACTGTAAGTGCTTACATAAATAGATGCAGATAATCATGGCTGAGCCAAAAACACGTTAATGATCCTACTGGTTTGAGAAATCGTCGGGCTATTCGAAAAGTTAATGGGCTCAGGCAGGTACAAAGCAGATTGTTCGTAGCTCTAAGCACGGCCTCACTCGAGTCAGTGTAGATTAACCCCACTGCGATTATGACAATTGGGTCTCCCGGCATTCACGATCTAGATGGATTGAGTTTTGCCCAACTAGCGGGAGTTTTTCTTTCACCTTACGTATTACAAACCTCTGGAAAGTGGAAGTTTCTAGTAATTACCCGTCATTTCTAACTAGAGAGTCGGTATGTGAGCCAAAGCAAGTTAGAAGCGTTTACCTACAGCATCATGCTGCTCCAGCAACACTATTTACGGCATAAGAGTTGATCGAACAACTACTTAGATCCATCACTACCACCGGCAGCATTGTCGGCATTGCCTTTATTCAGCGAGCAAACGAAGAGCGCCAACACCTCCCTGCATCATGCGGCCAGCTACCATTAACCGCTGCTGCCTTAAGCAATGATGACACTGAATCTGGACTCGATCGGCGTTACAACGACGGCCCTGTCCGTTACCGAGACTAGAGTCATCACAAAGAACCTCCCAGGCCTTCTGCACCACAGTTTCACAACCGTTTAACCCTGACTGATGCAATCAGAAAATTGATAAGGGTGAATTTGGCGGTTCTAGACTAACGGTCAATGTCTATCTCATATACTCCACGTCTCCTTCACTCGCTATTCGCCTGGTCTGTAAAACTCTGTTTGCCGACGCTCACGCGCTGAGCGCTAGGTCTACAGTAACGCAAAGAATGCGGGAAGGAACTGTGCAGGGGATAGGGGAGGGGTAGACAAGTATAGTAGAGGGTAGGGGTGGGGGTGGGTGATTGGAATCAATTTGCTTCATGGATGACATATTTACGGAATCCCACGGGATCTCTTGACGAACCCGCCAATGCCCCTCGCTGATGTATAACCATCCAGCATTTATCATTTCCTACATTGTTATTTCGTAGAAATTCAACCTCGTGATTCACAAACTTACCACATTCGTCTGGTGCGTCTTGCGTCCTCTTCATCGGGGTAATTCTTATCACTTATATCCAATAGCACTACCATTCCACTTATTTCATCCATACGTTCCCATTCCTTCCATCTGTAACCCCCGCCACATTTGACAGCCAGATGCGCCACTTCCTATCGTCTTCCCTTCAGCTTTTTTTTTAGGTTAGGCGATTGGGCACCAAGTCAACATTCTCTCAGATCAGCGGCCACTTAGCAATTTCAATTGCCAAGAATATCTCAGCCTCCTATTAACCCATACTCGAATATCAATCCCCTTTCCCTTCCTGTAGTTTCTACACCGTTTCACATACTCTATCCATTCAGATAATCGTTGTCTTCCAATTGGAACACAAGCGCTGCATCACTGACTATTCCGACTTCGCCATTCATTAACCTAACCCAAAAGCGTAAGGATTTATCTCAATCGTTCAAGCCAGTAGGGGCATACCGCCCGGTCATTCATTGCTCTCAATGCGCAGCTGTAGACTTCCCTTCCTGCATGATCACGCCAACCACTAAGATATTTGACAGCGATCCGTATCCATACGACAAATTCGTCTCGCTCCGGCTCGAAAGGCAATTCCAGAAGCAATTCTAGAAGCAATTCGAGGGAGAATTCATCGGCACCTGACGAATATACAGGTAACCACCATCTCCGTCGTCTACATTCTTCAGAACCAGGAGACTAACTGAATTAACAATATCCAGACGGTACCTCTTCCGAAGAAGATAGATGTATAGCTACCCACCATAACACTCATCCAGTATTTATAGACGCTGTGGAAACCGCTAACATATTGGCATAGCATTTGGACCACCTTCTCGATCCACATCGCGCCCACCCCGCAATCGAACTTTGTCTACTTCAACGTATAGACAACACAGCGATAGTAGAAGCCGACCTCCCTCAACATCCAGAGTCCCCCCTCAGACAAACCGTGCCTCCTCTGCGTCACGAAAGGCTCGACAGCAAATGCCTGCATCCCCGACCAACGGCGAGCACTTTGAAGACCAATATGCTGGGAATAGTCGCGCATATCAGTCGTTCGGTGGAGCATATACAAGACCTGCTGGAGCTAGCTATGCTCAAAATGCCTATCCAAGTCATTCAGGAGGCGGATACGCACCTCCATTTCAGACAGCTGCAATGACTCCGTATAGCGCTCAGGCAGCTGCATACCAGTATCCCTCTACCCCAAATAATCAATATCAAAATCCACCTGCACCTGCACCCATTACAGCACCCTCCCAGTACTTGAATACATCCTATCCCAATAACAACTACACAGGTGGTTACGATATGGTACACTATTCGCAGCAGCATCCGCAGCCGTCCAATCATGGGTATGGAGGATATGCTGGGTACGGATTACCTTCAACCGCTCCAATGCAGAACCTAAATTATTACCCGAACTGGAATGCCAATGAGCCTGCAGCGCCGCCTTCCCCAGACCCTGCGCTACAAAAACAACTAATATCTTTGCAAGCCGAATCTGATAAGGCATTAAAACTACTTGCAGAGAAAGAAAAGCAGGAAGCCGATGTCAAAGCTCAATTGGATAATCTAAAAAAAGAACAGCTTGAGAAACTTCAGAGAGATCAAGCTTTTGAAGAAGCAAAGAAAAGGGCTAAAGAAGAAATAGAGGAAGCAGCGAGATTAGAAGAGGAACAGAAAAGGATATGGCAGGAAAGACTTGAACAAGAAAAAAACGCGGTCTTAAATGCCGTCAAAGAAGCACAAGAAATAGCTAAACAAGAAGAGAAGGCGAAAGCAGAAGAGGCCCTAAGAAGCAAACTAGAATGGGAAGAAAAGTTAGAAAATGAGAGAAAAGCCGTACGACTTGCTATTGAAGAAGCCCAAAAACAAGCAAAGGAGGAAGAAGCTAGAAAAGCCCAGGAAGCTGCTGAAGCTCAAGAGAAGTTAGAGCAGAAGATTGCTGAAGAAAAAGCACAAGCACTTAAAGAATATGTTGAAGCTCAGAAAGCCGCCGCAGAGGCTGAGCAGAAAGCACAAGAGCAAGCTGAAGCTGAACGAGAAAAATGGGAAACCAAAATTAAAGCGGAAAGAGCGCAAGCCATGCTAGATTACGAGAAAGAGCAAAGAGATAAAGCCGAAGCGGCGGAAAAGGCACGAGCTGAAGAGGAGGAAAAGAAGGCTGCACTTGAACGGAGAATTGAAGAGGAAAAATCACAGGCGGCCATCAGAGCACTAGCTGAAGCAAAAGCGGCAGCAGAAGCACAGGCAAAAAGAGAAGCTAAAAAGGCAGCAGATGAGAGGAAAAGAGCTGAAGCTAAAGCTGAACTTGAGAAGATAAGACAAGATGCCGCTGACGAGGCTATAAGACTGAGAGAGGAAGCAGCAAATCTAAAGAAGGAGGGTGAGGAAGCCGCCCAGAAGTTGAAGGAAGAGGCCGAAAGACTCAAGAAAGAAGGAGAAGAGGAAGCTGCAAGGCTTAAGAAGGAAGCGGAGGAGGCTGCTGAAAAACTTAAAAAAGAAAATGCTGAAGCTCTGGCCCAGGCTATGGCTCCTCCTCCAGATGACAAAAAGAAATCGATCAAGTTTAAAGATGCCGTTGGAAGGAAGTTTAGTTTTCCTTTTCATCTATGCTCGACTTGGGCTGTAAGTACTAATAACCTCTAAATTCGACTAAAAGCTAAATTATCCCAGGGTATAGAAGAGTTAATCCGTCAGGCCTTCTCACACATTGATGTCGTAGGAGGTCATGTTGCCGAAGGGCATTATGACCTGATTGGGCCGAACGGTGAAATTATTCTTCCCCAATTATGGGAAACAATGATTGAACCAGACTGGTCCGTGACAATGCGCTTATGGCCAATGGACCCTGAACCTGAACCGCCGAAAGCTGAGACTCCGCCACCACCACCTCCTCCCCCACCTCCAGCGCCTGCTCCACCGCCACCGCCACCAGTGAATCCCGTAGTTATGGTACCCAAGCCGCGCAGACGACTTGTTGAGCCTGTGAAGACGAGTACTCTATTTGGATGGGTCGCAGGTTTGCCTATGAAGGCTCCGCCAAAAGGTACAAACAGATTTATCATCTTATTTATACTCCAGTACTAATTTTGTAGGCAGGGCCAAAAAGAATTAATTATAAATATAAATAAAGATTCCCACCTTATCTCATCCTATTACTCCAGCTTCATTCGAGTATTATTGTATACCCACTTCAGGCTGGTCACATTTACTGTCGGATCGCAAAAATTTATGGTCATTTGTTCTAATGTTGTAGCGAACTTCTATTATCTCAAAAAGTCAATGTTGAGATTCCTCTGTTGTAATCCGGTGCATGCAGCGCTCGAATTTTGATGGAGCTTGTGTCTCCCGGTAGATGATATACGTTTGGGAAGGAGCCTCATGCAAGGTTGTTTTAGTATTTTGGGCTGAAGTGTACCTATTCGAGTCTTAAATATTCTGAGCCATGCTTTTTCTGTTGTTAAGTAAAATAGCTATCTATCCGTATTTCAAATCATCTCTAGTCAGTAGACTGCATCCTCTAACCCATGCTATTAGATAAAAGATTTCTAAGCGGAAAGTCAAATTCTGTTGGAATCAATTTGATTCGTTCAGGAAACTCCGAAGTTTATTCCGCGTTTAGGGTGGTCCTTGAGTGAAGTATTGTTTAAACTAGGCTCCTCCCTTAATGTAGGGTTGGTCGAAAGAAGTGTATTATGGCTTTAAAAAATTGGAAATTTGCTTGTGATCAGTGCGATGGGCTATTTCAAAGTAAATAACGACGTGTCTACACACAGCTTATGAGTTTTTCACGCAGCAGTTTTTATTAAAATTAATTGACGTGTTAGCGCTCAGATAGACCCAACACGGTCATTCAAAACTAGAATCCTATTGACCTGCGCCTAAAGATTGAATTGCACGTTAATTTAGACCCTCACTGGACATCACAATTTATAAGCGCAAACGAAAATACGAGAAAAGAAGAAGTCAATACTGATAACCTAAGGATCCATGGCCTTTAATGCTACAATCTTATTCCAACCAGAATTACCGACATTTTTTTCAAAGATACCTGTGACATGTACCTAGCTATTGAAGGCAAAATTTCTTCCTGCTGGAGCCAGAGCCCAAAGTGTATCAGAGATAAAACTTCAAGTTACATGGAGCTAATCCCGGCACTGTTCGAGATGGCAGAAGACAAATTGGTCGGGAGATTTCTTATGTTTCTGTGAGCAGTTTCGGGTGACTCCATCGTTTTTAAAGTGCCGATAATATTTTGTAAACACGCCATACCTAGACCACACAGCTAATGGATATCAGGGAGCGGTGCAGATATATCCCAATGGACAGGACCTTCCATGAAGAGCTTATCATATGAGGGCAACTATAAGATCTGCCTCTGGTTGGGTAGGACAGTGGAGTAACTGCTGCCTTGACTTTATGCTTTGGCTACTGTGAATTAATGATGACCAAGTGGAGGCTTAGTGCCCTGAAGTTTGTGGACTTTAAACTTACCGTCTTGTTCATTGGACAGAGGCGTACCGCGGTTCAAATACCGGGCCCTGGGAAACTATTCTCAACACCTGTCAGTGGTGTCTCCTACGAACCTCTAGCTCTCACTGTAGAGTCTGCAGAGTCGGGATTTAGTAACACCATCGTGCTCGCGGTCTGAATCCTCTTCATTTCCCAGCACATCTCCCTAGCATCATTATCATGAAGCTAATCACTGTCAGACCAGATGGTAGGGTCGGAGCCCTACTCATCACCAATCCTTGATCATGGAGGAGATGCCATCCTATGAGTTTCCGGAGCCTAGCCAGCGCCCGATACGGTGATAGTGGATTGGATCAAGTCGGCCTCAAATGTTACAAAGAAGGGAGATGTAGAGGGATATGCGCACCTTCCGTAGCTTTGGTTACAGGGTTTTGAGACTTTTTCCTGCACACGCAGTTTCCATTGCTGCTTTTTTATTTTTTTGGGTAGAAGGTTCCGTGGAAAAGATGGCAATGTTCCACGGGTAAATATTGGGCTGAATGACTATCATTACGAGCAATTTAAGAAAGATATTTCAAGCAACAAAAGAGGATAGCAGCACTGTACAAGGTGTGGTCTAGACCAGAGAGGAACCCGATGTGCTAGCTAGTCTATGAGTCAAGTAGTACAATAAAAACATCACATCAATACCGACCCCAGAGGGACTTTGTAAAATTGGTTTACTTGCCAGTCTATTTGTTTAGGACATGAAAGACCTTTTCTCCCCTGCACTTTTATTCTTCCCGGGTTTTGGGAGTAGGTGGCGAGGCCACTCAAACCAAACTGGAGATCACCAACAGGAGGCGAAGCGTGGCGCCTTTCGTCGTTGGCTTGCTTTGATAGTGTCAGCTGCACTCCTGTTTATGGTCTATGACTGCGGAAGAACAGTCATAGACTTAATAGATGGATCAATCATTCTTGGGGCTGACTGCATAGAAGAGGCCCAACGAGACCAGGGTCACGACATCCTCCACTAAACTATCAATGGATTTTCCGAAGGTCCGAGAAAAAACAGCGTGAGCGGGGGACGAATACTAAACACCTCTCCATGGTATCCCCTACCAACCTTCAGCCTCACCGTAGAGTCTGCAGGGCCGAGATTGAGTCACACATTTTCGAGTTCGAGCCGAGTTGTCTTCCCCTCCCTGAGCGACACGCTTTCGATAACTCCTACGGCGATCAAGACGAAAATATCGAAGCTGTAAACGGGGAGAGACAGCACGGAAGAAAATACTGAAAGAGCTGCTGCAGAAGCCCTCGTCATATTCTCATACACACTACCCGACGGTAAGTGAGTAGAACGCGCGAAAGTAGAGCGAAAACTCATCAGGCATGGAGAAAAGCAGACTTTGACTCGGCGTCAACGACGTCTCTTCAAACTTTGACTTCTGATTTAACCATTCAAGAGATCATCCAAGTTACATGAATTGCATGATGAGCCCGTGCTCGTAAAGATTTCTGGATGCTAGACTAGGCTTCTTCACAGCGGTCTCGACCAATACTCTTTGGAGTGAAATGTCGGCGTGATAATAGTATCTTGTTTTTGCATAGCCCACAATTGCTGTGTAAAGTTAATTCTGCATGGCCCCGTAGCGACCAAGTCCAGTCGGGCAAACATCAGTGACCTGCCTGCCATCTGGAAACGAGTGGGTGATCTGTCTTCCCATGTCTAGCCAAAGCGGTGAAGTTGGACATCACGTGGGTTAGACTTTTTGTTGGATTCATTGTGCAACTTGAGATGGTGACTTGCGTGTTGTGCGCTGGCACGTCGTGAGTCAACAAGTAAACAATTGGAGGCATTGACTATCCAGCACATTGGGCTACTTTCTGACCAAGGCCACATTTTCTAAAGTCCTGTTTTTTTCTTTTGTTACGAAAATAGATCCGTGATGGTTAGCCATCTACAGCCAGACCCCTGTTAAGACGAAGTAATCGGGGCCGTGAAAAATATCGTCATATAGAGGATATCGCTGTAAAGGATATGATTATCTAATCCAGCTATCTATGCTAATTTTCACTTTTGATGCCTCTTTTATACTCCCATTTGCCGTCTTTAATTGCTCTGATACTCTCAAGGTCAGGCCAGTTTCCAGCTCGCCGTCGAAGCGCAGTAGTACTTGTGGCTTCGTCGAGTTTCGCAAAGGTCTTATTTAAGGACTCGGAGACTGTGAACTGGCTTAATCGATGGCCGTACTCAGTGAAGAGCCACTCAATGCACTGTTTTTGTGTTGGTTTGGGAACTGGCGGTGCGCCCATCGTCACAGAGCACGTCGTTGCTCTACAGAAGTTCCCTTTTCTGGCGGCATTAATAGCGCCAATCTTAAATAAAAACCCTGGTTAAGACGATTTTCAGAGGTTGAGGAACGATAATCGAGTAAGCGGTAAATGTATGGGAACGAAGTCTGTTCCGGCGAATATATCGTATAAACGGCAATATCGTCTTAACAAGGGTCTGACTGTACCTTGATCTTTATTTCGGTAACGGATGGAGGCGAGCCTCCAGACCTCAATATGCAGTCTCTTTGGGTAGAAAAAGTATATGGGTCAAAACGGCTGAGGTAAGATCCATGGAAATAAGGATTTGATTGGTTTGCTCTTAATGTAGGTCGATGTCTAGTTAGTCCACTAGCTATGTAAGCAAGGGTACTATCCAACAATATTCAGTGAAAGTCAAAATTAATGGAGATGGTTTTCAACTTCAAAAGAGAGTATATGGGTCTTCATCATTATATTAAAATATAGTTAAATCAATTGATGATATCTAAAAATACAAATATATTTCAAACATAATTGCATTGTTATAAGAGAGTATACATCGAGGCCCTCAGTATGGCTCGCAAATAAAATGAAAACATACTTTATGTTATGTATTTGTCTGCTCCATCCTCATACTTCATGTACTCTCCATTTGCTTTTATCACCGCTACATATATTTCGTGTATGCTTCCGAATAGTGACGATAGCTCCTCGGAACGGATAGAGTCCCATGCGGCCCCTAGCAATATTCTTAACCCGGCAGGCGCACAAGCATGATCCCATTTATCTCTGGACTATTTACCTGAATGGAATTTTTTACGATGTTCCACAATAACTCGATCGGGTTCAGGTCCGGAGAGTTAGGCGGCCATCTAATAGGTGTTATTCCAACCTCACGCAGCGCCTCAGTCGTTGATTATGCTTCATGATATGGGTCATTGTCGTGCATGTATAGAGTTTCTGGATTTTCCATGTGAAATTGATTCAAAAGAGGCAAAATCCTTTCTCAAAAGGATGAGGCCCTCATTGATCCCCAATCCTTCTCCCAGACTAGGAATGGGCCTTTCTGTGATCCATAAAATGATCCCCAAAACATCCAACTGTTCCCATGAGTATGATGAGCCACAATACAGGTCTCATCAAACTCATCATCAGGCTAAACTCTTCTTTTAGTACAAGGAAGATTTTGATAGAATTTATACGTAGTTTTCTAGTCACATGAGATTTTACATGAGAATCACCCGACACCCAGTTTTTATCAATTCGTAGCATTCGCCTCCATTGTTCCTCGCTCTAATCTAATTTTAATTGGGCGAACTCCAATCTTTTCTGCTTGTTAACCACACT